GTGCAATTAGAAGTCAATGATGCCTTTATCTCAAGTGTGTGAAAAGAGGGAAACTATAGTCGTAGGTTGGATAGAATATTTTTGGCTAGGTGTTTCTACCACTGAAAGTGTGCTCGGGTCAATAAGTAATTGACCCAATAGAGCCTATGATTTCATGTCAGGGAGCTTTTGAGGATCAGTAGATAGAGGATCATACTAGTGTGTGAAAACGTGTGAAAAAGATTGAAATGGGGAAAATTATGAGTAAGGCTTTGTTATGATAAATATATTTTCTATACTTTGATTTTACTACTTTAGCATGATTATTTTTACTAATAGACATTCAATGAACTATACTAGTTACTAAGATTTTAATCTCACTTATGATTATTTATATTTTTCAGGTTCTAATGATAGTAGTGCGACAGGGAAGGAACTGAGTTGAGAATAGAGATTTCTCGATTAAGCCTTATAAGAATCAGTGTAATAAATTTGTATATAATAAATGGTTATGTGTATAAGTTTCCATAGGAAACAATACTTGTGCATAACATGTGAATGTATATATATGTGTGTGTATGTGTGTGATTTTGACATCCTAGTCTCTTTGTGTGTTTATGTGTATAAATGGTGTGAATGGCCATGCGGGCTAGTGATTGAGTATATGTGGTTATGGCATGGTGATATGTGAGATGTATATGCAAAATGTGGCCTTGTATGAGATTGAGAATGAAAAATGGAATTTTTGTCCAAAAGTGTGTAATGGGTAGTTTACAGGCCAATTGTGTGTATGTGTATTATATTGTAGATATAATTAGTCAATCAAGTGTATATTGTCTATTTGGACGTGGTTGAGGCCCTAAAAGTAGCCAATGACTTTTGATTTCAATTGGAGATGTTCAAGTGGCAAATTTTGACTTAAAATGGTCAAAATATACTTGGGTATCCAATTTTCAAATGGGATATCAGATTTTAATGAAACCCAGTGTCATTGGTTAGATTTTTTAAAAAACTTCGTGTAGGCACATGAATCACCCAAATCGGATGTCGAATGTGAAAACGATGAACTTTTGAAGTTTGTAATCTGAAATTTAATAGTAGATTTTGATACATGTGCCATGGTGCATATGGTAATAATGGGCAACATGCCACGAAATTTGGCAGAGAGTGACACTGAGGTCTCTATGTCATATGCCATGGCGCAAGTGGCACGAGCCATGACGCGTGGCCCCTATTTGACTTGATTTGATTAAAATGCACAAGTTTTCATGTTCTATGATGTACATTTGCATATTGCTTCCACTGTGTTGGGTTTTTATAACTTGAGTAATTTATCGAATGATTTTGGAAATTTTTTACTTGGGATCCCAAACTTTTAAAATAAATGATTTTAGTTTGATTTGTAATGCCCTCGCTGACATTACCATATGCTCCACTATAATCTTATTAAACAAATCAAAATCATTTAACTTGAAATGTTTGAAAATATTAGGATCCTAAGAAAAGAGTACAAATCATTTTATAACTTACTCAAGTATAAATCTTTACACATATAGCAAAAGCAATAAACCTATATGCATCAAGGATTAGGAAAAAGCATGTGTATCACTAAAAAAAATAAAGTGAAATTTGACACCATGTGCCGCAGCTCATGCCACATGCACCATGGCATGTGGCATAAGGGCCACAGTTGCTCACTTTGTGTCACGCGCTACGACATGTGAGTACATGCGTCACGGCATATACACCTGAATTTGTTGTTAAATGGCAGTTTCTGATATGAAATTCAAATGCATGCCATTTCTACATACAATATCTGGTTGAGATGGTTCAAGTGCCCGCATGAAGCTTGTTTCAAAATCTAACTAATGACACTGTTTTCATCTCAATCCAATATTTCTATAAAAAATTGGACACTCGAGCATTTTGATCAATTTCTGTCAAAATTTTGCTACTTAAATGTCTCAATTCAAAACCAATTGTCATTAGCTACTTTTTGGGCCTTGACCAAGTTCAAATGGAAATACACATTTGATTGACCACACACATGCACAATATATCATGCATACATATATTTGGCTTATAAACCACCCATTTCACACTTTGGGCCAAAATCATATTTTTATTTATTTATCTCATGCATGGTCAATTCATCACATATAATCTCCACCTATCTCATATTCATACACAATTACATTTATCCACTAGCCTATCCAATCATTTCATTGTTCACACATATACAAGGGCTAAGGAGCTCAAAATCATTAGATACCAAAATATGCACATGTACAAATCTTATGGCAACTTATACATATTCTTGGCTAATAATTTACAAATCATTACACCACATCTCACAAAGATTTAAGCGAGAGATGTCAACTCAACTTATATCCTTTCCCTTTGACCCGCTAGTACCAGAACCTGAAAAATGTAAATAATCAAGGGTGAGATAAAAATCTCAATAACCAAATATAGTTCATTAAATGTCTATTACCACAAATAACCATGCTAAAGTATAAACATTAAAGTAATATCATATATATATATATATATATCAAAATATGAAATAATTCATCTTTTCAAAGTAATTCCATATAAATACACACTAGCATGATCGTCTAACAACTGAACCTCCAATGCTTCCCAACATGAAACCATAGGCTCTCCTGGATCAACCACTTGTTGATCCAAGCACACTTTCAGTGGTAGAAACACTCAGCCAAAGGTAATCTAACCCACCTACAGACTATGGTTTTCCGTCTTCACACACTTGTGATAGAGGTGTCGTTGACTCCTGTAATGTCCACCTTGACATTACCAAAATTCACTACATAGTCACAATAAACAATCATAATTAGGAGCAAGGATTGCTCCTAAGCTCACATTATCTATATAAGGGTTAAAACTAATAATCTTTTAAAAATGATTGTGGAATAATTAGGATCTCATAAAAACCCTTCAAATTAATAGTTTAAACTCAGACTTAAAGATTTAGATAGGTATTGGAAGCATGGAAAAGTTTTGGGAAGCAAACCACTTCAAAACAGGGCCAAAAATGTCATTTTTAAGTGTTTTGGTCCATGAGCCGTGGCTCGTGGTCTGTGCGCTGCGGCATGTGGCACAGAGTGCCAAATTTTCTCACTCTACCATGCACTGCGGCTTGCGCAAAATGCGCCGCGGCGTACCTGTCTATGACAGCAATGCTGTCATGATAGCTTTTATGGATGAACTTTGAATGCGTGCCATTTTCACATCCAATGTCCTATTGGAGTGATTCAAGCGCCCACGCGAAGTGTTGCTCACCGTAAGTGTACGGGTCATAGTAAGTAATATAAGATAAGTAAAGTATCGTTCCCTTGAGGATTTGTTTAAAAACTATAATCAAGCAAAAGACTAAGCAAATTTGATCAAGTTGAGCTACACATAGTTAGGTAAAAATGATTTTGCAAATGAAACTAACACTAGAAAATAAAGAAAAATGAGTGATTCACAAACTTCCAACATAATTTAGGACCTAGGATTATTTATCCCCCTTGCATTTCATAACACCAAAATTACCTCCTCTCATAAATGTTTTTAATGAAAATAAGTACTAACTTAAGGTTCTAAAAATACTTGGACAAACTCTCTCAAGTCATGAACAAGTGTTTAGTTAAATTAATTGCTGAATCTCTTGTTACAATTAATAAAACTCAATTTTAAATATTAACCCTAATGTGGCTACGTAAAGCTAGCAAGTATATCTCTATCTTACTAGCAAAACCATCCATTCAACATGCAAATATCAAGTTCTTATACAATTTTACCCAAGTTCTACACTCAACCTAGCCCTCTCAAGCATCAATTAAGTGAACCCAACATCTAAATGGTAGCCAATCAAGTAGAAGCATTAAGGAAAGAGTAAAATAAACACATATATATCATTAATCACAAAAAGAGAGGAGAAATATAGTGTTAATCCATACAAGGGTTCCCAATAATTCTAGAACAAAGGGTTTAGCTACTCATAATCATCCACAAGCTACAAATATATAAAATAAGTAGACCCATTTCAGATTACCAGAGAGGAAAGGGAAGAGGAATAGAAAAATCAAAGAAAATGAGCTCCAAATATCTTTAAAGCTTCAATCAGGTGTAAATGGTCTTTTTGGACTTGGTTCTTAGCCTAAAATGGCCTAATGAGATAATAGGGGTAATTAGAACACTTTGGTGCTAAAATTTCAAAGAAAGTAGCTTTTTACACTTGAATGTCCAAATTTAGATTGGATTGTTGGATTGTGTCCTAACCTATCTCATTAGTTAGATTATAAAATAAGCTCTATTGGGCACTTGAATCATTTCAATCGGACGTTGTATATGAAAATGATGCACATCAAAAGTTTACTTTTGTGAATTATCATATGATGATAGAAAATGTCGTGTGTTGCAATGCATGGTGCCACATGCCATAGCACATGACATAAACAAGAAGCCTTTGGCTCTGTGCCACATACTATGTCATATATGGTGCATACCGTAGCATATGGCTCCTCTTCTTATCTTGATTCTTTTGTTTTGAATCATATATTAGGAGTAATGAATGCAAGAACTATTTTTTGTTGTGTGCTGCTCTAATATGTGATTGTTTTTGAATGATTTTAATAAAGAAGTTGTGGATTCCTAGGTTTTTTAGACTGAATATTTTTTTAGTTATGTATTATGTGGTGTAGTGATTTTGTTAACCCTTTCTTGTATTAGATTTGTGGTGAGACTACAGTTTGGTATGGGGAGAGGTTACATGGGTTCACTTAAGGAAAGAGAGGTTTCTTGAATAAAGGAAATTCAAGTTATAGCCTCGTGCAGATGGACCTTATCATGTTCTATAACACCTTGAAGGCAATGCTTATAGAATTGGTTTACCTAGCTCTTATAGGAATGTTAGTACCACTTTTAATGTTTTTTATCTTTCCCTACTCCCTCCTTCTCCATTATTGATTTAGACTCCTTTATGCTGATGTTGAACTTTTTTCTAAAATAGTCACCTCCAGTCTTAACATCCTTAGCATCGAACATGGCCACGTCATCATGCTCTTCCTTCTCAACTCTCCCCATTCTGTCTTCTCTTTCCTTGGAGCTTCCTACCTTAGAGCCATCATCACCACAACTAACCCATTTTATACTATAGCTAAGGTCGCAAAGCAAGCGACTGCTTCTAATACCAACCTCATCAGCACGCTATCGATAAGGTTAAGGATCTCACAAAAGACAACAATGTTAAAGTTGTGTTAGTCATTTATGCACTTTATGTATAGTTCACAAGCAAAAATGACTTTTAACCCTATAAACAATTTAGGCACACTCAATAAACTATCTTAAAAGAATAAATAATACTCCCTCTATTTCTATATATGAGAGAAAAAAAACTGTATCACATAGTTTAAAAAAGTTAGTTAACCATACTAATTATGTTTGAAAATAAAGAAATTGGACTAAAATGCCTTGTGTTAATCAACATAAACATCCATTAATTATTTCTTATTAATGTAAAATGTGAGGGGCGATTTAGAAAATGTGTAATAAATGCTTATTGAAATATGTGATTTTGCTTATTAAAAAAAAAGTAAAAATTGGTAGTCTCTCTTACAAGTAGAAACGGAGTAGTACATTGATGGCTTATAAACAAACTAAGAATTTGTTTCACTTGAATTGAATGCAAGATGATATAATTTGAACTCTTTAACACTTAATACATGATAAGTAGTTACCCACTCACTTAAATGAGGTCCTATATATAGTTTGAGGTGGTTTAAACCATTAAGAACACTCAGAGAAAGGATTATAGTCATTGGAAAAAGCCAATTTTCCCATAAAGCATTTAATTTTTTATAGAGGCCAATTCAAGCATGAATTAGAGCATATCACACATGGAATGGCATGAGGCTTAAGGCTTTAGTTCACTCTTAGCCAATTCAAGTGTGAGGCTATGATGACTTCAAACATGTTTTATAAGATAGAAGAACCTAGCTTCTATGTGTGTCAAAACATGTGTGGGTACTCTCGGTGTTCAGGCATGGGATAATATGTAGAAATACCTTGCTTCTATATGTTTCAAAACACGCTTGACTCACTTCTAAAACAAGCATAATTTGGCTTGTTCAATTCTAAGGTTCTCTATGTTAGACTTGAATACTTCTAAGGCAAACTCTATTTCAAGCATGAATCATCTAGACTCAAACATGAAATATCACTAATGTAAACTTCAAACTAACATTATGGACAATTCAAGCATCGTCACAAAGTTCATTCAAGTGTGAATCAGAACATAAAAGCATCTCCAAGACACTTCCTCACATTAGGCACCAAAACACACTTGTGCCATTCTCTAGCTCAAGTGTGAAATGACTCATAGTGTAGTTGTTTGCTATAAAGTGTTACCACAAGCACAATAGAATATTCCAAAAGTATTGTTCCCATGGATATTTAAACAAAAGAGGGCTAAGAATTTTTTATTTAACTTTGAATTAGGTTAAGCAAAATCAAATGTAAGGCTTGCATGAATGTATGAAAATTGAATTAAAAAGTGTTTTAAAGAAAGTAAATTAGATGAAACTTCAAGAGCTAAGAACCTAGGATTATCTCTCCCTTTTGTATTTCATAAGACTTAAATTAATGCCTTTCAAAATGATTTTTAATAAAAATAAGTGTTAGTTTAAGACTCTAATTTACTTGAAAAAGCTTTCTCAAGTTAAAATCAAGTATTTTTGTGAACACTAAAAATTTTCAATCTCTTGAAAATAATTAATGAAAATAAGTGTGAAGGTTCCTTAATTTGACTATGAAGGACTAGTAAAATATCTCAATTTTGCCAACAAAACTATCCATTTAATTTTGTAAATTTCAAATTCAACACTATTTTATCCAAGTTCTATATCCAAGTTAGCTTTCTCAAGCACAACTTATATAAACAAAACAATCAAAATGATGGTCAAACACTTAGGAGTATTAAGCATAGGATAAAATAAACATATATATTTTATTAGCTATCAAAAGAGAGTAACCAATTCTTAATCCATACAATGGTTCCAAAAAATTCTAGAATAAACAAACTGTAACATCCTTAATTTCTTAATCTCGTGATCATCTATTGATCAAGGGTAAAGTGATAATTAGTATGGGATCAGATATTTGGATGATTATGTAATGATTTGATTTGTTGGGATGTTGTATGAATAGATACGGGTTGAAAGATTGCATTTCTGGTCGAAACAAGTACGTGTGGTGAGAATTATTCTCACTGTGCCACGCACCATGGTGCATAGACTAGAAAATGACCCCTTAAGTCATGAATTTCAGAAGGGAGAAATTAGAATCACATGAAAAGAGAAGAGAAGAAGGGTTGGTGTGCTAGGGCAAGAGATTTCGAAGTGGTGAAAGGTGCTTTTGATAAGTAACTTAGCAGGTAAGCTACATATAACCCTTACCCTCCATTCTACCTAAGTTTCTATGAATATGAGTTGTAGAGAAATTAAATTGATGAGATTTTAGAGGTTTGATTCTTGCCCAATAGTAATAAAAAGATTCTCGAGAGTTAAGTTAGAGCATTGTGATTGGTTTAAAGCTAAACAATAGAGCTTTAAACCTGCAGGCTCCATTTGACCTTAAATCAAGAGGAAATTAGGGTGAAAATATTATTTAACTGAAATGACAATAGTTGAGCTGATGTAAAGTAGCAATCAAGTAGTAATGGATCTAAAACGGATAAATGGAAAAGAATAGATGGCTAATATAGCCATAAGTAGTAATTATGTGCTTTTGGTCAAATTAGATCAAATGATTAAATTGTGTTAATTGTGTTCAGATTGGCATATTAAGTGTGTGAGATCAGAAAGGCTTGTGTTAAGCTGTAGTAGTGGTTGAAATCCACGGGTAACCTTTTTAGTGACAGAAGGGTTAAGGTAACCGGATAACTTTCTCTATTTAGCTATTTATCATAACAGTGTGTGAGTATGCTATTTATTGCATAAAATTATTTTAAACTAAGTATGTTTCATAGTATTGCATGAATATTGCATGAAAATGGCTTTTAATCAAATAAATGAGTAAGAACATGTGTTTCTATACTTTATATAAATATATGCTATGTATTGAGGACATGTGTATAAATAAGGAACCCATATGGTTCAGAAAGCATGATCATAGGGGTGGGAGTTCATTTGTGTGGAGTGTGGCGATAAGACCACATGGCATATTCTCCTTGGCGCCCAACGGGGTGTGATGTTGGAGAATTATACCTCCTTAGTGCCTTTCGAGGTATGGTGTTGGAGATGATCTTCTTAATGAATATTGAAGTACGGTGGTGGAGACTTGGACTCCTTAGTGTCTATGTGATATGGTGTTGGAGTCAATGACACCCTATTGTGTGTATTGGACGAAACCATAGTACAGAAGTAAGACAGAAAACCTTTGGCTGGGTGATTCTACCACTAAAGATGAGCTCCTGGCCAATGAGAGTGTACATTAGTCTAAGGAGAGCTTATGGTTTCATATCGGGTGATTTAGAGGTTTGGTCAGTAATGATCATGATATATGTTGTATATGTGGAAAAATAGTAAAAAATGGTGATTATGGTAGTAAAAAAAGTGATTTGACACATGTTGTGTGATTTGAAGTGAAACATGTGATATATGTTATGTTAAATAGTATATTATGCTTTACTTTTATATAGTTACATGTGATAGTCAATAGGAGTAAGTTATTCTATTACTAGTATTTTTAACTCACCCTCATGGTTACATTTTTATAGGACCAAGCAGTGATTAGGGCAAAAGAAAAGAGACAAGATTGGCACAGGGGTGCCGTTGTCATATGTAATAAACTATAATGAATGTTGTGAGTTTTTAGTGAATCTTAGCCCATGTGTGAAAATTATAATGAAACAGGTAATTTAGGGCTAAGATTGAGTTGTGATTATGTAGTGAATATGGATAGATGTGATTTTGGTAAGAAAAGGGCCCAGTGAACCAAGTTGTGCCAAATTGTAACAAATTATGAAAAGTTGAGAAATGTGGAAATTAGCTATTAAGGGCTTAAATTTCGATATAAGTGTATCTATATTATATATTTGGGTAATCAGGTGTGTTAAGTCCTTTTGGACTTAGTTCAAGGCCTTGTGTAGTCTAATGAGGGAAAGGGATTGATTTAACTGCTTGGGTGTGCAAAATTTTTTAAAAAAGTGACTTTTTACACCCAAGTGTCCAAATTTTGATTAGACCATTTGATTGTGTATCTAAACCTGTCTCATTAGTTAGCTCATGAGATAAGCTACGTATGGGCACTTAAATCACTCCAATTGGATGTTGTATATGGAAATGATGGACACTGAAAGTTTATCATTTTTACTATTAAATGACAGTAGAAAATTCAGATTGCCACGCTACGGTGCATGGATTCTCATGCTGTGGCACATGACATTGAAGTCAAGCGTGTGGCTTTGTGCCACATGCCACAGTGCATGTACGGTATGCTGTGGTACATGTCCTATATTCTAACCTGATTTTGTAATTTAAGATGCATGCATTTGGTGCTATGAATTTTGCATGTGATTTGCTTTCACTGTGTATTGTTTAAATGTGTTGTGATTTTATTGATTTTGCAAACGAGTCTTGGGCCTGAGCTTTTCAAACAAAATATTTAATTATTGATTAGTGTGTTTGACATGGTAATTTTATTAATCTTTTACTATATTTAGAGGATATGGGAGGAGCTTACATTTTGGTGTCAGTTTTTCGAGTTTCAACACCTAATTGTGGTGATTTTCTGATGCATTCATTCTAGATTAGATGTGGGAACTTATTATTATTCATTACACAACTCTTTCCCTAATGTTCTTTGTGTTTCTTATTTTCATCCTTAGGAGGGAAGAAAATAGTACAGTATGAGGAGAGCCACTCATGCTAGAAATGTTGTGTCTAGATTGGTTGTTGAGGAGGAGCAAGAACTAAAAGTTCAACCAGTTTAGGCATGAAAGATAGACATGATGAGCTGCTTTAAGAGCTCAGAGATATGGTAGTGGATATAAGGTAGACGGTTAAGGATCATGACATGATCTTGAG